AAAGCTAGTAATAGCTTAGCTAGATAAAGGCCGAAGCACCACAGTCACGCAATATAACACAACGTACTAACTTGTAACTAGTTAGATAGAACGGCCTTTGGCCAAAGTCCTACATAGCCAGCGGCTGATACAGGACTATAATGGAATAATAATAATAATTAGAATGATTGCAGGCAATGCTGGTAAACAAAATGACTTTATTCCCCCTTCAGACATACCACAATCTCTGTGGGGTCCAGAAGAGAAAACACCAAAAGCACTCGCTGGAAAAGCTATTGGGTTCAACTGTTTAAATTACAGTGGGGCTGCTGAGGGGTCTTTAACTCGCCATCTACTTCCAAATAAGTCTTTCATTGATTCAAACTGCGCTGATGGCCTTCGCCTTGAGCTGATGTTTCCATCATGTTGGGATGGCATTTCTCTTGATGCCAACGACCATGAGTCTCACGTTGCCTATCCAGATCTTGTTATGGAGGGCACATGTCCTGCAGATTACCAGACCAGGGTCCCAGCCCTATTCTTTGAAACGATTTGGGACACTTCTGTGTTCCGTAACGTCTCTGGGCGATTCCTACTTAGTAATGGCGACCTAGCAGGTATGAAGAAGTGTTTGCGAATAAAACTTTGACTTATTTAATCCTAGGTTCTAGCTACCACGGCGACTTTCAGAATGGTTGGAACATAGCTAAATTGCAACAGGCAATTGGTAGTTGCACAAATTCATCGGGCCTGATTGAAGATTGTCCATTCTTTTCTCTACAATCACCATCACAAGCAAGCCAATGTAACCTGCTACCGCCAGCAGAGGTTGCTAATGAAAGCTGTGCTGGACCCCGTTCAGGTCTTTGCGGTAATATTACTTTGTAGAATAACTATTGCTCGACCAACTGGATATATGCAGATCATACGACTCGAACAATAGTTAATCAATAAATTCCACACACAGTCTTCTTCACGTTTGATAGAGTACAACAATTACTTTCCAACATATTTTGAGCTTACTAGACTGAGAAGAGCTTAGACTTTATTATCAATATTTAGTTACAATTTTTGACTATCCTGCAATGTCTATCTTCCAATGTCTGCGTTCTCCCAATTCTTCTCTTCTCCGTTCACAACATCGTCGTCCAATTCGCTTCCATCGCTGGACGAACCGTCTGTATTATAGTGGAAGTCATTTGCCCAAGAATAATAAAAATCTTCAGAGGGCTTTGCCATGCTTACAGCGTCTTTCACTACAGGCTTGGGTGGTTTCTCCTTATCTAGGCCTCCAGTATCTAGAAGCCTTCTCTCTGTATACGTTTCGTCTGACTTCTCATTTCCAAGCATCATGTTACCTGGCTCTCCTCCAATTAAGTGCTCTGTGTTCGCACTTGCTATATCTATAGCTGTCTTTCTTATACTTTTCGTATCATTCTCGTCCTGGTGTTTCTGACCTGCTACTTTCCCGTGTTTTGCAATACAAGGACTTGACTTGTGATTCTCGCACATAAAGTGTTCCTGGCAAGAAGAAGACTTATAGAGCGCTGCTCCGTGCTTAAATCTACAGCCTAACTCAGCGAAACACCTATCCTGCTTCTTTAATTGGTTGAGATACGGCCATGCAGGTTCTGTTGGATATTCATCCTCGAACAGGTAGATCATTTCGTCTCTAAGCTCCTTGGACTGTTCAAGGTCCTTAATTCGGATACCCTCGTCGAGAATAGTGAATAAGGCTCGCTGGAAGTCAGAAATCAGACTAATCGTAACATTTTCGTGTTTGTCAGCTGCATAAGTTGCAGCAAGGTCAAGGAGCTCAACGCGCACTTTAGAGACGATTGAATCCATGTGAATGTTCATAAGAAGTTTGCAGTTCTACTGTTGTATATATTCTCCATAGATACAGCTCTATTTGTAGTTGCGCCAAGTCTGTGTAGAAAATGGGTAGTCAGTACTTTTCTACTGGTCCTAACAAAACCACAGTACACAATTTTAGATGGCTATCGATTTTTCAAGTCTATTCAGATAATAAATATTAAAAGAGCAGCCATAGTATCGCAGGAGAAGCTTCCAACTTTCACGATGATATCCCTCTACTTTTTAGTACTTCTAGGTTTTTCAGATGCGTCATCCCTTTGGCGAGAGAGTAATAGCACAAACAACGTCACTAGTATGGCTTGTGTTGGGATAACAACTACGACTTCTACAATCGTACATACTACAACTTGTGCGATAGGTTCGCAAGGTTCTCTATTCCCAACCAACCCATCCCTCCGTTTGCCTTTACCCTTATGGAACAACGGAACGGATTCAACCCGGAATCTCTCCAAGCCGACCGAACCTAGCGTTCCTTTGTCCAGTTCCTCAAGTTTGATAGATAACCGAGAGATACTAGTGTTTAAAGTCGTCTTCACAATCGCTATCTATATAGGCTCTATAGCTTTCATGCTCTAAGCAGACATCTTTGAGTCGTTGCGAGACATAGTCCCTGATTGATATAATTTATCTAGTAAAAGTATAGAAATAACTAGTATATTAAATAGTTAAGTTACATCATTCTCGCTATATCTAACATTGAGTATCACACACCAACTTCGAGTTTTCTAGAATAGGTGTAATTTTAGCTCAATATATACAAATCC